ACATGACTGAGCAACTGAACTTAACTGAAAGATGGCTTTCTCTCCCACCACTGCTGAGAGGAGAAATCTCCAGCAAAGACCTCTCTCGGCATAAGGTAAATAATTTCATCTATCTTTATATCCTGTCAATGACAACCTCATTTTTCCTTACCCTCCTGCCCCTTGCAGCTTGAAATTTTCCTGTCCCCTCTCTGGCTTTTCTTCCCCATGGACTTGGCAGCCCTTTCTGGCAACAGAAGATGAAAGGCCAGTAATTAAAAGAATCTGCGACTTCCCTGGTGGTCCCATGGTTAAGAATTGGCCTGCCAGTGCAGGGGACACCAGTTCAATCCCTGGTCCGGGAAGAATCCACATGGAGCAGAGCAACTAAGCCCATGTGCCGCAGCTACTGAGGATGGAGCCCTGGAGCCTGTGCTCAGCAACAAGGGAAGCCACTGCAGGGAGAAGCCCGCACACCGCACCCAGAGCACAGCCCCACTCTCCACAACCAGAGAAAGCCCGCACACAGCAATGAAGACCCAGTGCAGCCTAAAAGAAATCATTTTTAAAAAGAATCCTCAAGAAAAAAATCTACCCCCCAGGTTAAGTGAGGACTTCTTTATTGATTTAGAGTTTGGCTTGGGGACTTGTCCTCAAAGTGAGACTGCTGTCCATGTGACAGGCTACCCAATGTGCGGGCAAGTCAACTGGGGGAACCATCTCTGTGGGTGGGGGGCTGGGAGACTGAAGATGCTGCTAACTCGGTTAGTATCCCAGCCAGGGAAACTCTAGCGGGCACAGGAACCCTCTTGGTGGCCACCATGACGTGATATGCCAGACGGCCACGCAGCAGCCCCTCCATGGAGCCTCTCTGTGCCCCTCTCCCTTCATCCAGCAGACAGGTCCCTGCATGCCGATCACCCTCATCTGCACAGAGTAACTCAAGGCTCACTCCCACTGGGTGACGTTTACCCAGCATTGTGGGAACAACTGCCCACATCGACGGCTGATTCAAAAATCACCTGATGCCAGCATGGTATCATGGAGTGGGTCACCTTCTTGTTCGAACCTTTTCTCCTCATGTCCTCTGGGTCCTCACCTACCCCCTCCCCAGCTGGGGGTAAAATAAACTAAGAAAACCATCTCTGGGACTTCCCTGGTGGTTCAGTGGTTGAGAATCTGCTTTCCAATGCAAGGGACGTGGGGTCTGATCCCTGGTTGGGGAACTAAGATTCCACAGGCCTCAGGGCAACTAAACCCATGTGCTGAAACTAGAGAAGGCTCCACACTGCAATGAAGACCCAGTGCAGCTGAAATTTAAAAAGAAAAGAAAATCATCATTGAAGATACACACACGTCACGTGGCCAGCATCCCCAGAGAGGCGTCCACATGTTCATCAGAGACCCTGAGAGGGGCATCCTTGCTGCTTTATCCTTGGGGAGCGAACCCTGAAGCCCCCAGTGCCAGTGCGAAGGGGAAGGAGGCAGTCGGGAGAGAAGACAGCTGTCCCTGCCCCCACAGACACACCAGTGCAGGCTGAACACAAGCAGCCAGTGTGAGAGGACCGTGGAGCCCGCTCCGTGGACCATCTTCTTGCCTGCAGCGTGAGACCAGGCAGCACCCATCTGTGGTGGCAGAGCTCAAGAATCAGCGGCCTGCAGGGCGGGATGAGGCGATGGGGGCCAGGGGGCGGGTGCTGAGCAGGAAAGAATGCTCTGGGTTGATGGCAATCAAACAACTATCTTGCTCAGAGCATTAGTGACATGGGCATAGATACTTTTTTATTTCACTTTATTTTATTGCCACACAGCACAGTATATGGGGATCTTCCTGGGCCAGGAATTGAACCCAAGTCCCCTGCAGTGGAAGCGCAGCGTCTTTACCATTGGACCACCAGGCAAGTCCTAGGCATAAATACTTTTCACCAAAGTGATGCGGGCATTGAAGACATGGGTACATGACTTTATACAAATGATTCCCCAACTTTAAGAAGGGCAAGGGTGGGAGAGGAATAGCTACACTTCTCATTTGAAGTTAGGAAAAGCTCAATTCCTGGCCTCTGAATACTTTCTGCTCCAAAAGGTCTGGACGGTTTTCCTAGGGGGGGAGGGTAGCAGTGCACCCCAAGTCCACCAGGCACATACCGTGAAAGGAAAGGGACTTGGGCGCCCCAGACAACACATTGTCTACACCCCATCTACCTGACAAGACCCTGCCGCTCGGCCGCATCTGACCGATTCCCTTGACCCCACAACAAAGACCTGCTTTGTTCCCTGGTTAATATCCTTAGCAGGTCTGTCTAGACTCACTGCGGCAGTAATTGTCCCGTGATGTCACTAGGACCTGTGACCCGGTTCCTCCTTGCCCTGCTCGGTCAGGGAAGGCTCCAGACTTCCCCCAGCTAAGGGGTCCCAGCCCTTGACACCCACCTGAGCCTCCTAGGGAGAGACACACCCACAGCCAGCATCCCATGCTAACCACCCAAGACCTGCGAGGAGATGTGACACTTGAAAAATGCACTCCTCTCCTGCTTGAGGTGCTGAGACGCAGCGGTGTCTTGGGCAAGAGGAAAGGGTGGAGTGCCCCTCTGTCCCCAGAACTGCCACCTCCCCCATGGAGCTGGTGGGAAACAGGTCACTCTCTGCTGGGGCACAAGTTCACCCAGGGCATGCAGAAGGAAGGTCAGATGAGAGAGAGAAGAGAGAGAGAGAGACAGGGAGAGAGAGGCAGACAGAGAGAGAGAGAGAAAGGGGGGAGAGGGAGCGAGAGCTTGAGCGACAGAGACAGGGAAAGACAGACACTCAGAGAGGCCACAGGAAACTGGAAGAGAGACAGAAGGGAAGAGATATGAAGAGAGAAGGGGAAAGACAGAGGTCCAGAGAGAAGAGACACCCAGAGAAAAACCGAGAGACACAGAGACATGGAGAGACAGACCGAGAGGGGTGATTTGGTCCCTGGCAGAGGAGGAGGTGTTCCTTCCGCAGGTGGCAGCTTAAGCTTCAGGAAAAAGCAGTTGGGACAGGAGGTGACTTGCTGCTCACCTCCCCTCACCCAACATCCATCTTCAGCTTGAGCTGATGACATCAGTGGTTGCCCACAGCTAATGCCTGGACCACACCAAGGGCCTTCCTAGGCAGATTTTCTTGAGGAATGGGTTAGACCCATCCGGTGGCTACGCCCCTCTCATGGGCAAATCTGTTCCATCCAGAGTAACTGAGAAGCACCATCGGCAGCTCCAAGGTACCCCATGGGGGATCCTGCAGATGCCCTGCCATACAGAAGGTGTGGGTTGTTGTTTAGTCGCTCAGTTATGTCCGACACTTTGTGACCCCATGGACTGTAGCCCACCAGGCTCCTCTGTCCATGGGACTTTCCAGGCAAGAGTACTGGAGTGCAAAGGCATGGGCCCCAACTGCAACTGCATTGATACCACGTTCTAGAATAGGCAGAATGCACCTATGGTGGCCATAAAGTCTGCAGAGACATCTGCACCTGGGTGGGGGGCAGGGGGCAGTGGGAGTAGCTGGGAAAGGACATAGGGGCTTCTGCAATGCAGAAGAGCAGAGGAGGGTCTGAGAATGTTCTAGATCTCAATCTGGACTCAGGCGCCACAGAGGTGCACAGGCGTGGAACATCATGGAGTTAGATGTCTGCGTGCACTCAGGGTACATGGGGGCGGCTCCAGCTTTTTAAAAGGGAAACGATCAGGTCTGGGAAGGTTGGCATCTTTTTAGCTGGGGAATGGTGGAGAACCTCCTCTTCCTGTCTCATAAAGTAAAGGAAGAAAACTGAAAGACTTCTAGAGGCGAAGTCTGGAGGGAGGGTTGACTGAAACAGAAAGTGGATCTCCCCTCCGGCAGCAGGAGGAGAAGCTGTCATCCTTCACCATCCGAGTCCTGATGCTCGGAGGGATTTCCAAAGATTGTTTAATTGATTTTTCTCCTATTTAGATGCAGATCATAGTGTCTGGGGGCCCGGGAATTCAGACACACGGCTTTGTGTCCACTCAGCCCCGTGAAGACTCCTGTCTGAAACTCGCACAAAGCCAGACACACACGTCTTGAGAAGCACGCTGTTTCTTTTTTGTCTGGGGCTCCAGGGGGCGGGTGTGATGAGCAGGGCCTCGGACACGCTCCCATCTGTGGGGTCCCGGGGACCCCGTCCCTCTGTCCTGCTTCCAAAGTGGGGTGAAATTTTTTTAAAAAAGAGAGACGAATGTGGCTGAGATTTTGAGGTCTGGAAGAAGGGTATTAAAACACGTGGGGATCTCCCAACTAGGTGTTGATACACTGAGGTTTCAACTTGGATTTTCCTCCAAATTCAGGGCTCTGGAGTGGAAAGCCAGGGCAGGGGGTGCTTTAAATCAAGCAGCTAATGGGCTAGGATTAACACTAGTTTGGCTCCAGTCTCTGCAGATCTGATTTATATAAGGAGAAAATGTTTCTCTCTTTCTCTCTGCCCATTGTTTCCCAGTCTGTCTCTCCAAATGCCGCAGCTGACAAAGAAACTAGAAGGCTTGGGACAACTGGGAAGACTCCCCCCTCCCTGCCCTCAATATGCAGTTTTTGCTTCCTTCAGCTGCCAGGAGGCAACACAGAGGACCACTGCAATCCCCTCTACAAGGTTGCCACAATTCCCAATATCCCTGCCTGGCCCCCCCTAAACCTGGCTGGGGCATGGGACACTTCTGAAGAAAGACCGTTCTGGTTTCTCAGCTGGATGACCTCAAATAACTCTCTGTGGGCCTCAGTTGCCTCATCTGTAAAGTGGCCACAAGAATAAACACACCTAAAGGTTGTTGGAAGAACTCAGTGCTCTAGGCAGAAAAAAATGCCTGGCACAGAGCAAGCACTCAACAAACATTACAGCAGTAACTATCTGAGCAGGAATATCTATGACTCAACATCTCTCTCCGGGAAACTTCATGGGAGATGCTCTCTTCATAGGTTCCTTGCTTTCTTTGGCACCAGATACTGCCAGGGGAAGCCCAGCCTGATTTCTCCCCTCTGGTTTCAGTTACCTGGACCGCAATCCAACTGGCATTCACAGTGTGTTCCCCAAAAGGGCCGAATCCTGAAAAAAAAGTAAAAGCAGCACATCACCACCCAGAGGCCCCTCCTGGCCCGCCCAGGGCCAGGTGGCTGCGTGGATCCACAAGAACGGAGCACGGAGCTTCGGGAGCAGCCATGCCTGGGACAATGTCAGGGGCCCGGTCCAAGTTCTGGGGTGCACCCAGCGGTCCCTTCAGAGAACCCCGCCACGTAACTGTTCTTAACTGAAGTTGCGAGTCCTTCCTTGCTCTCACTCTCACCTGGCCTCGTGCGCCAAGGGGCCAGCGCCCGCTTTTGCTCCAGAAAAGGCCGACTTTGTTCCCCTCGCAGTGTCTTCCCCTTGCTGTGACCCCCAAATATAACGATTTTATCACTGTCTTCGTGCACCTTTCCTGGGCTCTGGAATTACAGGGCTGGAGGTGCTCCGTGATTCACGGTCTGATACGGAATGGCCCTTAAGGGATGTACGTGGGTATCTCCCAGGTCAGGCTGTCCAGGCACCATCCCATCATCCTCCTCCCTCGTCACTGCGCCCCATTTATTTACAAACCAGACTGTACCTAAGGATGTGCCGGGTGCTCTGCATTCCCTGTGGCCTTCAGCCCCCCTGTGCCTCCCTTTCAGGCAAGGGTGTTTCCTGACTGAAACACAGAGGTGAGACCAGTTGTCCACGGTCACACAGTGAGAAGACGGAGGGGCAGGGATTCAAACCCAGACCCAGCAGAGTCTGTGGCCTGCCTCTTCTGACCAACCCAAACACACTATCTAAAAAATAAATCTCTTGAAGAGAGGCTGTCCTTGATCACGTGTCATGGATCACTCCAGCTGGGCCAAGTGCCCCAAGCGGTATCATAGCCCTGGGATGAATACTGTGTCCTGGAACAGCAGGGGGCCCCCAAGTAGGGTCAGAATCTCACTACCCCTTTCCTCGTCCTGCATGGACCAAACATGGGTCCCAGCTCAGACACTGACAAACAAGGGCACCTCTGTGAGCCTAGGTATCCCCTTCTGCAAAATGAGACGGTAAAGATCTAATAACATCAGGCCAGAAAAATGTCCCTCCCAGGGCCGCCGCCAGAGTCAGCCCTAAAGTAATGAACAAGCGGACACAGGAGGGCTGCAGGGGAAAGCGACCCTCTGGCAGCGTGACACACGTGCCAAGTAAGTGGCTTCTTCCGTCCTCCTAGGAATTCCGGGGCCAGCCAGGACCTTCCTGGGCCACATACCACCTGTTTGAGTCTCAGCCGGATTGCTCGCTGTCACCCCTCAGGACGGGTCCCCCCCTCCCACCCCCGGCAGAGGCCCGGCGGAAGTTGACGCCCACGAGGCTCCGAGGTGGAGTCTCTCGGAGGGGGAGGCGCAGTTAGTTTCGGGGAGTTGGTGACAGGGGGGAGGGGGGAGCAGGCTTATCCACAAACAGCCCGGGCAGGAAAGATTTTGATCAAGACAGTCCCTGAAACAACCGGAAGAACGGCCGGCACCCGAGGTCCCCCGAACTCCGCCGGCCCCTGCCTCGGGGGAGCAGCCCCTCATTAGCGCAGGGTTCGGGGAGCCGTGTCCGGCAAGACGTTCATTTGTCACCGGGGCACTTCCTGCCCGCAAATCGGCCTTTGTCCCCTGGGACCGGGGGTGGTGACAAACCCGACCTCGGGAGGCAGACACAACAAACAGGTGTCCGGAGGGTCAGTGTCCCCAACCGGGGAAGGGAGGACGCCAGAGGGGCCTGCTCCGTGCGGGGCGTTTGCCAGGACCCCCACGTCCTTGGCTGCCCCGACCCCTGACAGTGGGACCCCAGGGGCGCCCCCTTCTCCACGTTCTCTGTTTCGCGCGGACTGCGCTGGGATCCCGCGGGCGATGACACCTTCCAAACCGGAGGCGACTTCTAGCACCTGCCCCACCCGGCCCCGCGTCCCTCCCCGCTGCCTCCCGAACCGCCCCATCCAGCCCTGCCCCGGGCCGCCGCCGTCGCGGCCGCCATGCGCGCGATGCCCTCGTACCCGTCACCACCACCGCCTTCCTGGGCTGCTCCATGGCCGGCTCAGGCTGTGCCTCTGACCGGTTCCCGGTCCGCACTGGCGAGTCAGCTGCCGCTGCTCGGACCCGCGCCGCCCCGCCCCCGAGCCCGACCCCGACCCCGCCCCCGAGCCCGGCCCCGCCCCCGCCCGGGCCGCCGGGCGTGCGCGTGCCCGGGCCTGAGACGCAGCGCGCGCACCGCGTCCGTAACTCTCCGCTGAGAAGTGCGTGACTCCTCGCGGTCCCCAATCTGTTTTCCCACCTGCAAGATTCGGACGGTTCATCTCGCAGGCTGTGGCAGCTCGAACTCACTGAGTCATGCCTTGGGGACGAGCTGATCATGTAGTCCACAAATGTTCACTGTTCGCTGCTGTGAATTATATCGGAGCCCACCCCACCGCCCCCGTGTGTAAGGCTCCTTTATTCGGTCCCTTTGACAGATGAGAAAAGTGAGGCATAGTTCGGGAAGCCACTCACCTAAAGCCTCCTGGGGCCACAGATGCGGCATTCAGGCCAGGAGTTTGGCGGGGGGGGGGGGGGGGGGGGGGAACAAAATAAAGTGAAAACACGGCACAACTGGGTGGTGCCTGAAGCAGGCTCGTATGTTGAGGAGGCTGATGTGGCCCCACAGACCAGGCCTTCCCCCGCTTGCTCCAGGACACAGCTGCCCTAACCCCAGCAGTCCTCCAAGGGCCCAGCCGCAGGGCCTTTGCACTTGCTGCTCCCTCTGCCTGGAACATGTTCTGAAGATTATTGCGAAACCAAATGCTTCTCCTTCAGAACTCAGCTGGAACATAAACTCCTAGGTGTCCGCCTCACCTCGGCTGAAATCCCTACCCCACTTCACCACCACCCAAGTAGGTCCATCTCATTTCCTTGTTCCACTCTCTTCAGAGCAGCAGTCACATTCAGAAATCATCCCTTTAGAGGCACTGCTGTTCTGGTTTATTTCCCACTTCCTGCCCTAAATTCCAGAGCAGGGGCATGTCTCCATTAGAGCCTTGTGCCTGGCACACAGTAGGTCCCCAGTCCACGTTCATCAGAGGTCAGAATTCCTCCCAAGATAGCCAGAAAAATAACACTGAGTTTCTGGCCGCATCCTTAGAAACAGGGCTGGACCTTGGAGTTGGGTCACTGACCTCTCATTCCAAGCAGCCTTGTCCTGGATTAACCAGGGTGCTGACCAAGGACTGTCTGTCTCTGACCCAGGCCTCAGAATACCCAATGCAGCATTCTCTGAACTGCCCAAAGCCTTGTTTGCAAGCTCAAGCCCGAGATCACATACTTAGTGGCTATTTTGGTCTCTGGCAGCTTCAGGTAGAATTCAGAAAATCTGAGATCTTGCCTGGGCTGGCTTGGGAGTGAGAGCTCAGCCAATGGGAAGAAGAGAACAGAACTAAAATCTTACCAAGAATCAGATTTTATCATTCAAACATGTAATAAATATCTGGATGAAGTGCATGCATTGCTAGAAGCCGGGGCTGTGGAAAGAGAGAAACCACAGTGGGTGTCATTTCCCCACCCCCCATTGCACTGGGGGGGGGGGGTGGGGAGGAGACTGTTAACACCCAGAGTTAATGGTGATCAGAGAAACTGAGTCACATGCTACTGCCATGAGTGACTGGGGATAAAAGTTCGTGTTTACTGGATGCAGTCCCTGTTTAAGCACATCACTAGTGTTCTTTTTTTCTTTTTAAGGTCTTTAAAAAAAACACACATTTATTTATTTGGCTGTGCCAGGTTTTAGTTGTGGCACTCAGGATCTTCGATTTTCGTTGTGGCATGTGGAACCTTTAGTTGTGACATTCAGGATTTTTAGCTGTGGCATTCAAACATTTAGTTGCAGCATGTGGGATCTAGTTTCCTGATCAAGGATCAAACACAGGCCCCCTGCTTTGGGAAAGCGGGGGTCTTAGCCACTGGACCACCACGGAAGTCCCTAGTGTATGTTTGTTTCTTTTTAATATCACAAACTTTTGGAGGGAGGAACTGTTCTTACCCTGTTTTGCAAGTGAGGAAAAGGAACCTAGAGCTGCTGAGTCATTTGTCCCAAGTCACACGTGGAAGGGGCTGAGGCTTGGATCAGGAGTAACTGATTCCTTGGAGAGGGACAAGCAAGGTGAAAGAAAGTTGGCTGGAAGAGCCAAATTGTGAGTTCAGTCTGGCTTAGCAACAGTGTAACCAGCAGCACAGTGCCTGGGACACCCCTAGGTAAAGGAAAGGGGAGGGATGGAGAGCTTTAAAAAAAAAAAAATGGTTACATTGGAAAGCCTTGGCAAAGTCTAGCTACTGTGGAAAAATTTGGCAGTTCTTCAAGAGGTTAAACATAGTTACTGAAGGCCCCAGCAATTCTACTTCTAGGGATACTCCCCAAATAATTACAAGTGTCAAAATACTGTGAAAGTTTTTGAATGTTCATGACAGTACAATTTAGGACCACCAAAAGGAAGAAAACAAATGCTCATTAGCAGATTAAAAAAAAAAAACAACTGTTTACTTTCCATTATTTCAAACAGTGGAATACTGTTCAATAGTAAATGAAGCAGGGACACATGCTACTGCCTGGAGGAACCTTGAAAATATCATGCTGAGTAAAAGAAGTCAGACAGGAAATGTCGCACAGTGTATGATTCTAAGTATACAAAATGTCCAGAACAGGCAAATTCATGGAGACAGATAGTAGGTTAGTAGTTGTCAGGAGCTAGGGGAGGGGGGCTAGGATATGACTGCTAATGGGAACAGGGTTTCTTCTGAGGGTGATGAAAGCATTCTGAAACTAGATAAGAGGCAATGGTTGTGCAACATGGTGAATGTCTTTGATACCACTGGATTATACACTTTAAAATGGTTGAAGTGTTATGTGTATTTTGTCATAATGATTTTTTTAAGTGTGGAAGCATTGTTGGAAATACAAATGTCAGAGAAAGGAAAGATTTGTTTGCAAATGCAGAAACTATCTGAGGAAGGAAGAGTAGGAGTGATAATAGTGGGGACTTTGGGGAGGGAACCAAGATGTGGGGGAGGTGAAGGTGGGGGTGGAAGGGAGACACTTCTACATTTCTTCCACTGGTATCACTGACTTGATGGATGTGAGTCTGAGCAAGCTCTGGGAGTTAAGTGATGGACAGGGAAGCCTGGCGTGCCACAGTCCATGGGGTCACAAAGAGACACGACTGAGCAACTGAACTGAACTGTACTACTCAGAAATAAAGATTATATGGACACTCTCTTCTTTGAAAAACACCACTAGATTTTTTTTTTTTTTTGGCCATGCCACATGGCATATGGGATCTTAGTTCCCTGACCAGAGATTGAAGGTATGCCCCCTGCAATGGAAGTGTGGAGTCTTAACCACTGGATCACCAGGGAAGTCCTAGATATATTTTTTTTTATTGTGGTAAAACACACATAAAATTGACCATTTTCAAGTGTACAGTTCAGTGATGTTTAAAAGAACATTCTTCACATTGTTGTGCACCCAACCTTCAGAGATTTTGTTGGCTGCGCTGAGTCTTGCGCTTTGCTTGGGCTTTCTCTGGTTGCAGCAAGTGGGACGACTCTTTGCTGTGGTTCGCGGGCTCTGGGTGAGTGGGCTTCAGCAGTTGCATGCAGCGCACGGACTGATTCGTTGCGGCGCACTGGCTTAGTTGCTCCGCAGCATGTGAAATCTTCCCAGGGATTGAACCTGTGTCCTCTGCATTGGCAGGCAGATTCTTACCCACTGCACCACCAGGGAAGGCCCAGAGCTCTTTTCATCTTGCAAAACTGAAACTGTATCCATGAAAAAGCAACAACTCCCCATTCTCCCCTCCCCCAGTGCCTGGCACCTACCATTCTACTTTCTTTGTGAGTTTGACTACTTTTAGGAAACTCGTAAGAGCAGAATCACCCAGTATTTGTCCTTCTGTGCCTGGCTTATTTCACTTAGCATAATGTCCTCAAGGTTAATCCAAACTGTAGCATGTGTCAGAACATCCTTCCCTTTTAAGTGGAGTCGCTCAGTCATGTCCGACTCTTGGTGACCCCATGGACTGTAGCCCACCAGGCTCCTCTATCCACAGAATTCTCCAAGTAAGAATTCCCTTCTCCAGTGGATCTTCCTGATGGAGAGATCAAACTCAAATCTACCACATTGCAGATTCTTTACCTTCTGAGCTACCAGGGAAGCCCCAAAATAGTAGTCGCTCAGTTGTGTCTGACTCATTGTGACCCCATGGACTGTAGCCTGCCAGGCCCCTCTCTCCATGGGATTCTCCAAGAAAGAATACTGGAGTGGGTTGCCATTTTCTACTCCAGGAGATCTTACCAACACAGGGGTCAAACCCACATCTCTATGTCTCCTGCATTGGCAGGTGGGTTTTTTACCACTTGCACCACCTGGAAAGCCCAATAGACTCAGGTGCCACATCTTATTTCCCAGAGTTGTTAAAAAATAGCAACAACAACAACAACAAAAATTTTAGGAACTTCTCTGCCAGTCCAGAGTTTAAGACTCTGCAGTTCCAATGTAGGGGTTGTGGGTTCCATCCCTGGTCTGGAAACTAAGATCCCAAATGCCACAGAGTCACAATACAAACAAAAAAAGTTCTTTTGCCAAGAATTATTCCTAAAAAAAGAGAACTGTCCCTCTTAAAATTATTATGCATTTTTCTTAGGGAGAGAATGGAGGGCAAGAAGTATAGTGACTAGAGCAAACTGTCCTGGGTTCAAATTCTTCCTGGCTCTTCACATGGTGTGCACTCTTGGATGAGCTACTTTCACATTCCAAACCTGTTTCCTTATCTGTAAAATGAGGATCAAAGAGTGCCAAGGCCTCATTGAGTCCTGGGAAGGAAGGTAAAGTCTGTGATAGGAGTGTTCTTGCCTGAAGAATCCCCTGGACAGAGGAGCCTGGTGGCTGCTGTCCATAGGGTCGCACAGAGTCGGACACAACTGAAGTGATTTAGCATGCATGCATGCATTGGAGAAGGAAATGGCAACCCACTCCAGTATTCTTGCCTGGAGAATCCCAGGGACAGAGGAACCTGGTGGGCTGCCGTCTGTGGGGTCGCACAGAGTCGGACACGACTGAAGAGACTTTGCAGCAGCAGCAGCAGCAGCAGCAGTATAGATACCAATGTGGGCAGTGTGTCTTTGTGGGACAAATTTTTTTTTTAATGTATTTTAGTATAGTTGACTAACATTGTTGTGTTAATCTCTACTGTACAGGAAAATGATTCAGTTACACATACATACATATACATTCTTTTTCATATTCTTTTCCATTATGATTTATCACAAGATATTGAATATAGTACCCTGTACTATACAGTGTTTTTTTTAATAGGATGGTCTGAGTGTTTGAATATGGAAAGATGAGTGTGGTGTATTGCTTTGTTGATCAACAAGCCCACAGCCTATCCAGTGTCTTCCACACGCCCTCCCTCCAGATAACATCTCCAGTCTCTTTTGACATGTGTCACTACTGTAATTTCACACTTATTCATACGATTATGCAGCTGCAGACTGTCTTTCCCTCTGGACTGTGAGCCTGGGAGGGCAGGGACCTGGTCTGACTTGGTCACTGCTTTCACAGGGCCCAGCATGCAGTAGGTGCTCAATAAACGTGCTAAGTGGAACAGAACCCACCACACTGGAGGTTGGCTTGGGAAGGAAGCTGCATTCTCCTGTGGGCTCCCTCTGGGAGATTAGAGACACATGGCCACATAGAGCCAGGTTGGGGAGGTGGGGACTGGACCTGGGTTCAGATCCTACCCCTGGGGATCTTCAAGACTCTTCACATTGCCAGCTCCTGCTGGGTGTGGCCTTGGGGGAGGAAGGGAGAGAGTAGAAGCCCGAAGGACCCCATGACTCCTTCTTGGGGCTCCTTTCTTTAGGCTCTGTCAAGGGCAAACTGGGCCCAGTTCAGGGACTTGGATGGCCTTTTGACCAAATCAGACAGAGGGGCAGTTGGGTAGATATGTGTGTTTAAAAAGGTGAATGCTTCTTTTACTCCAGGTGGTCTTGATACCTGTGAGTCCTTTAGGGGGTCTCGGGCTAGAAAATAGAAGGGGTGCTTTTGTTAATGAACCAAACTTGGGTCTGCTCACATGCACACAGTAAAGTCAATCTACTGATACGGGTTTCTGGGGAAGGAAAACGTAACAATTATTGTAAGGCACCATAAAGCAGAATGGGTGCCTCTAGTGGCTTGTGTTCAAAAACCCTGAACTCATGGAAGAGCTCCTCCTCCTCATCACAGTTACTCTATATAGTGCATCTCTGTTACAGGTGACTTTTTAAACTGAAGTATGGTTAATTTCAGAGAAGGCAATGGCACCCCAGTCCAGTACTCTTGCCTGGAAAATCCCATGGACAGAGGAGCCTGGTGGGCTGCAGTCCATGGGGTCACGAAGAGTCGGACACGACTGAGTGACTTCACTTTCACTTTTCACTTTCATGCATTGGAGAAGGAAATGGCAACTCACTGCATTGTTCTTGCCTGGAGAGTCCCAGGGGTGGCGGAGCCTGGCGGGCAGCCGTCTGTGGGGTCGCACAGAGTCGGATACGACTGAAGCGACTTAGCAGCAGCAGAAGCGTGGTTAATTTAACATGTTGTGTTTGTTTCAGTTATACAGTGAAGTGATTCAGTTATACATAGACACATATTCTTTTCCATTATGGGTTATTACAAGATATTGACTATAGTTCCCTGTGCTATGCAGGAGGTACTGTTGTTTTCTTGTTTTATATATAGTAGTGTGTATATGTTAACGTCAAACTTCTAATTTATCTCTTCCCCCAGCTACCACTATCCCCTTTGGTAAGCATAAGTTGTTTTCAATGTCTGTGAGTCTATTTCTGTTTTGCAAATAAGCTCATCTGTATCTTTTTTAGATTCTACATACAAGTGATATCATATGATATTTGTCTTTGTCTGCCTTACTTCACTTAATATGATAATATCTAGTCCATCCTTGTTGCTACAAATGGCATTATTTCACTCTTTTTCATGGCTGAAAGTGAAAGTCACTCAGTCGTGTCCAAATCTTTGTGACCCCATGTACTATACAGTCCGTGGAATTCTCCAGGCCAGAATACTGGAGGGGGTAGCCTTTCCCTTCTCCAGGGGATCCTCCCAACCCAGGGATCAAACCCAGGTCTCCCTCATTGCAGGCGAATTCTTTACAGCTGAGCTACCAGGGAGGCCCAAGAATACTGGAGTGGGTAGCTTATCCTTTCTCTAGCAGATCTTCCTGACCCAGGAATCGAACTGGGGTCTCCTGCATTACAGGTGGACACTTTACCAGCTGAGCTACCAGGGAAGACCTTTTCATGGTTGAGTAATATCTATTTTTTTTATTTATTTATATATGCAATATATCACATCTCTATCCTTTCATCTGTTGATGGACATTTAGATTGCTTCCATGTTTTGGTCATATGATTTTGAAATCTTGTTTTGGTTTTTGGTCTTTTTGGCCCAACCCTGCGGCGTGTGGCACGCAGGATCTTAGTCCCCAGACCAGGGATTGAACACGTGTGCCTTGCATTAGGAGCTCAGACTGCCAGGAAAGTCCCCATGTGACTTTTTAAATGAGCTGTTAATACTGGAATAAGTTCGGATCTACAGAAAAGTTGCAAAGACAACACAGAGAGTTCCCTATCTCTTCACCCACAGTCACCAAATAGGAACAGCTTACCTTATCAGTTCTATTATTTGTACAAGTAAGAAATCGACACCAGTGCACTGCTGTCAACCAACCATCTGACCTTATTCAGATGTCACCAGTCCTTCCATCCATGTCCTCTCTCTGGTCCAGAACCCTGGCCAGGGAACCTTGTTCCATTAAATCATCACATCTCGTCAGTTTCCTCTGGCTGGGACGGCTCCTTGAGCTTTCCCTGTTGCTCATGACCTTTGAAGCCTTGGGGAGGACGGGCCAGGCATCCTTCAGGCTCCCCTGATCTGGGTCTGCCTGATGTCCTTGTCATGATTAGAATGGGAGTTTGAGGAAAACCAGAGTTGAGGCGCCCTTCTCATCTTGCCATATCCGGGATCCCTGACCTCCACATGACTTGTCACAGTGACATAACCTGAATTACTTGATTAAGGTGGTGTATGAGATTCTCGTGATTGTATATCAGATGACCACAGACTCTGGCTTAAATAACACACATTATTCTCTTGCACTCCTGGAAGCCAGAAGTCTGAAACCAAGGTCAAGGTGCTGACAGGCCATGTTCCCTCTAGGGGCTGCAGGGAAGAGCCCTTCTTTGTCACGCCCTGCTTCCGGGGGCTCCAGGCACCCGTTGGCTTGTGGCCGCATCACTCCAGTCTCCACCTCTGTCTTTTCTGCACCTCAAATCTCCCTCTGCCTTTTCTTAGAAGATTAGCAGTCACTGGGTTCCAGCTCCAGATGACCCCTGGCTCCTTAGCTGAGTTACATCTGAAAAGACTCTTTATTCAAATAAGGTCACTTTCACTGGTACTGGGGTCAGGACTTGGACATGTGTTTAGGGGGCCACCATTCAACCCACTGGCTTCCCAGGTAGCTCCTTGGTAAAGAATCCACCTACCAATGCAGGAGACACAGGTTTGATCCCTTGGCAGAGAACCCCTGGAGGAGGAAATGGCAACCCACTTGAGTATTTTTGCCTGGAAGATTCCATGGACAGAGGAGCCTGGCGAGCAAGTCTGTTCATAAGGTCACAGAGAGTCGAACACAACCCAGCACGTGAGCACATGCACAGTACACATTCAACCCACTACAGGAGGTGTTGCCAGTATTTTTGCTGTTGAGTTTCTATTTTCCCTTTTCTCTATTGTTTAAAATCTAACCACTGGAGGTGGGAGGGGGGACCGGGATGGGGAATACATGTAAATCCATGGCTAATTCATTTCAATGTATGACAAAAACCACTGCAATGATGTAAAGTAATTAGCCTCCAACTAATAAAAATAAATGGAAAAAAAAAAATAAATAAAACCTAAAAAAAAAAAAAAAAAAATCTAACCACTAAGTTCAGCCCACTGTACCCCGCCCCAGGGTAGGGGTGGGGGAGGATTGAAATATAATTTTTTAATGAATGGAAAATATTCTGTATAGTGGAAGAAATATAGCTTAATCAACTAGTCCACTGTTGTTAGATATTTATATTCTTTCTGCTATTTTAAAATTGGTGACATTGCTGCAAGGCCTTGGCACAGAGCAGTTCCCTTCATTTGCAAGACCTCCTTAGTGTAAGTTTTCAGAAATAAATTACTGAGTTGCAGGGTGTGACACTTTTATGGATTTTGAAACATCATGCCATTTTCTTCCACTTAAAAGAAAATATATGTCTACCGGTTTCACTTTGTCAGCATTGAGTTTTACAATACTCCTCCTCTCATTTTTAAAGTGCAGGGTGGTGTATCTTTTTTTTTTT